TTCACGTCAAGGGGGAGAAAGGGCGCACTCTCCACTGTTTGGGGGCAAAAGTCCCTGATTAGCGATTTGCTCAATCCTAAACAATTTCTTGTGGCTATGAGGACACTAGAGGTTGGGATTGGACTATCTTGATTGGACTAATTTTGAGAATAAGGGTGAGGTTAATTTCACCCAAATTTCTTAGATGTATGCTGTATGATGTGGGAAGAGTGGAACAAATGTTGGAAAGGCAACAACAATCTCCAATGCTAATCATTTTCAAAGTGTATAAAATACATAACAACTATATTATTTTGTTAGTTGGAGTTAAAACAAACACACCCAAAATATACAAAAAAACTACTAGACCTAAACATATGTTCTAAAGACTTTAATTCCATTTTTGATATTTGACTGTTGACAACTTTCAGGCACTACCTCTTACCCATTCTCTCTCTCCCTCTTAAAATTTTTTTTCATTGTACATGTTTATGGAGTACACTTTGTTGTTTCAATCCATGCATATATTGTGTAATGATCTAATCAGAATAGTTAGCATATCTATCACCTACACATTTATCATTTCATTGGAGTTATAACATCCAAGATCCTCTTTTCTGGCTATCTTGAAATATACAATATAACATTATCAGCTTTTGTCACCCTAGAGCACCAGAACTTATTCTTCCTATTTAACTACAACTTTATGACTTTGTACCAGTCTACTAACCTTTCGCCACCCCCTCCTCCCTTTTCCTGCCTCTTGTAATCACTGTTCTACTCTCTTTTTTTCCTCTCTTTTCAATTTATTTTTCTTAATGACCCATGATAATTGTATATATTTATAGAGTACAGTATAACTGGGTACATTCATGCTGTGTGCAATGATCATTCACCCATTCTCTCTTGCCCCACGTCTGGGCAAGCTGATAAGAAAGTCTGGGTACTCCCTATTTTGGTGCTGGTGGGAAATTTAAGCCACAAAAGCCCCACCTCATGAGGAAATTTTCAACCTAGCTACATGTCGTAGCCATAAAAAACTCCCCAAAGCCTTTCCCCCTACTCTCTCAAGCCATTTTTAGACCTGTTTGGGAAGTTAGCTTTGCTCTTCCTAAAAAGCTTCATTTTGTGAATAATAAATCTTCTTATACCCTCTTGGTGCATATGTGGTGTCATAAGTCTTGAAATATGAATGAAATTTTGGGTGGGGGTCCATCTCATTTCTGTGGGTGATTGCAATAGCACATTAACACAATGGTAGTAAGTTTAAATTAGTGTTACCTGCTATGGTCTGAATATTTGTGTCCCTCTAGAATTCATATGTTGAAATTAACCTCCAATGTGATGGTGTTAGGAGGTGGGGCTCTTTAGTTAGGTCATATGGGCAAAGACCTCATGAATGGGATTAGTGTCCTTATAAAAGAGACTCCCAAGAGCTGCTTTGCCTCTTCTACCATGTGAGGTCACAGCTAGAAGCCACCATTTATGAACCAGAAAGTGGACCTTCGCCAGACATCAAATCTGACAGTGCCTTGATCTTGGATTGCCCACCCTCTAGATCTGTCAGAAACACATTTGTTTTTTATAAGCTACTCAGTATTTTGTTATATCAGCCCAAGTGAACTAAAACACCACCATTGTAGTGCTTCATTATTCTTATCACCAAGTGCACCACCTTCCTCCTGAATCCTCTACTTCTTTGAATAGCACCAGTAACCCCAGTTCTTTCCTCTTTTTTGCTGTCCACATGCTTTTCAAATCATCTTTGCCAACTTCATGGCTATGATGCTGGCTCAGGCCTTCACAACTCCTCATTCTAGTTATTCCATGTCTTCTAACTGGTTTCCTTGTTTCTGCAGTGTTGGCCACCTCTCCCCGACCCAGTAATCCATCCTCTACACTGCTGCTAAAGTAATTCTTCCCAAACCTTGCTTAAATAATCCAGCAATTTTCCATTACCTTCAGGATAGAGTTCAAACTTCCTGGGACAGTTCACAAAATTCATCATCTTACCCCATCTAAATTTCCCATTTCTCCTGCCGCATTCCCACACACCACCATCTTTGCTTCCATTATACTTACAAAAAACATTTCCACAGTTCATAGGCAAGGAAATACATACAACGGTATGTGTTTCTTTGTCTGGAGCACACTCATGTCTCTCCTTAGCTTGGCCAATTACTAATGGTTCTTCAAGATTTGTCCTGAGCTTTACATTCTATGTTAAATACTTCCTTTTTAATCTGGATTGAGTGAGGTGCTCTTCCTCCCACTTTAGTAATAAACTTGATTTCAGTGCTTATTATTACTGTAATACCTGATTTGATTGTTTGTGTCCTTTTCCAGATTTTATCCACATGAGGGCAGGCACCATGTTTCTCATCTCAGAACCTCACAACCTATTAGGATGATGGTCCTGCAGATAAATACACAACAAAGGTAAATAACAATATAAGATGGCTTATAGAAAATACCCTGAAAAGTAATAGAGGCATATGTTCTAGAGAAAACAACATAAGACACAGTGGAAAAACTAGAGTCCTCATACATTGCTGGTAGGAATGCGAAATGGTACAGACAGTTTGGAAACAGTTCAGCAGTTCTGCAAAAGGTGAAATATAGAATTTCCATATGAGCCAGCAATTCCACTCTTAGGTACACATCCAAGAGAAATGAAAACATATGCTGATACAAATACTTGTACATAAATATCCATAGAAGCTTATTCATTATATCCAAAAAGTAGAAACAATACAACTGATGAATGAATAAATGAACTTAGAAAACATGATGCTAAGTGAAGAAGCCAATCACAAAAGACCACATATTGCATGATTCCATTTATATGAAATGTCCAAGATTGGCAAAAGCATAGAGACAGAAAATGGAATAGTGGTTGCCTAGGGCTGAGGTAAAGAGTGGGGGAATGGGAGGAGTGTGTGGGGCAATTGCCAAAGTAAATGGAGTTTCTTCATAAAGTTATGAAAATATTCTAAAATTGATTGTGGTGATGATTGTACAACTGTGAATATATTAAAAACCATTGAATTGCACACAAAAAATAAAAGACAGATTACTGTGGGGAGCAGAGAAAAATTTCATGGAAGTGGTGGGATTTGGATTCACTGACAAACAAGTGACTTGAAAAGCAGAGGTGAGACGCTGTAGCAAATAAACATTAAATCCTTCTGTTGGGCAGATCTGGCTTTAAATCCTGCTATGCCACTTGGTTAAATTAACCCTTCTAAGTCTATATCCTAATTTAAAAAGTGAATATATCAATATACCTACTTTGTAGGATTATTGTGATAACAAATTAGATAATAGACTTAAAATATTTAGCCCAATGCCAGGCACATAGCAAATGCTCAATAAATATTAGTTACTATTATTACTACAAATAATAATGTCTAACATTGAATATTGGTTTAGGTGGGACACAGTGAATATGCAGATACATTAATGGAAACTGATAAACTTATCTGGAAGTTTCCAGCAGAAAGAGATATGAGTGACAAAATGATATAAAGGTTATTGTACTCAGTTTAAGAAACATTTATTGAATACCTTTTTTCTAATTACTAGACACTGCTAGCCTGCTGGATATGTAGAGACAAGAGAGAAGTAGATTGCTGGATATACAAATGAGAAGGGGTCCCTGACTTGGTGGTCAAGTAGACAAGTAAACAAATATACAAGAAAGCATCATACTTCCTATAATAAATATGTTCATTGTTTACACAAAGATGGAGTGGGCTGGAAGAAGGGTGCAGAAGAGGAAACCTGCTCAGTATTGAAACTGTTCATTAACCACTAAGGCCTGCACTTACTGGAGGCTTTTCAGGATACCTTGCCAATATTTTCCACTTCTAGTACACAGCATTGATTACAGATTTGAGCCAATGTTGTTCAACAGAAAGATGAAAAAACAATGTCCACGATGTTAAAGAATGCCTGTTATCCAATGAATGCAAATATTCCAGAGATTTATGCTCAGAATATCCAGGTTACTTGTTTTTCTTTCTTACTAGTCAGTAAGCTCCTTGAAGGCAAAGATCTTGAATGTATCTTGCTCACTCTTGGATTGTCACAACTTGCCCCATTACAGGGTATATGGTATACACTTAATAAAAAAATTGTTAAATTAATGTTCTCCAAATCCCTCCCACAGCAAAAATAGAATAATCTTTAATTAGCGGCTTGCTAGTTGACTGTTTCTAATAGCTATTAACAGTCTGTAATGGACATTAAAAAAAAATCTATATACCCATCCTTCCTTTCAAATAAAAAAAAATCTGTAAATTATGTAATTTTTCCTTTTCTTCATGAGAAGCTATTTGACTGAGGCTTTGAGAAAAATGGGATGCGTTGGCCGCTGAAAATAAAGTGTCTCTGCATCAGAGATAGCATATATCAATTGCTGTGATCTGCAGTTGAGGACAAGAACCAAAGCACTTCTAGAGCAGCGTTCTCTGACTGAAGTCACAGTGGTGGTGTGGAGAGGCTCTTGGCTTAGGAGGATCCGTGTGCTTTAGAGTTCGGATATGCAAAGACGCGACGGAGCAGCTGTCTAGTCAGCAACCATTTCTTGAGCACCTACTGTACACATTAGGCATTTCCCTCAGTTCCAGATTTTACTGAATTCTGCTTGGAAGTGGCGAAGAGATTAGGCGGGCTCTTCTCAGGGCCATTCCTACAGAGTCACAGACGCGAGGGTCAATGTGATTTGGGGATGGTTTTATTTGCCTGGATTAGGCATAGAAGCAGGGCCTGCGACTCAAGAATGAAAAGCTGTAATTAACAGCAGGAAGCTCTAGGGAAAGGGCAGGACAAAGTCAGTCACCCTCTTTCACAAGGGTAACCCTCTGCGAACCACGCAAGCCAGGGATGGCGTGGAACCGAAATCGGGCCGGAGCTCCAGCCTCAGCTCAGGGCCACGTGACGCTCGTGTTTGCGTTGAGTGACTGGCGCGGGGTTGGGCGGGTCTTGGCGGAAATCAACTTCCGGGGGCAGAGGTGTTCGAAGCCGGGTGGTGCGTGGGCTACCCCCACTTGTGGGACTGGGGCCGCGGTCACCCGTGAGGGGCTGGGGTGGTGCCCCGAGTGTGCGCGTGCGGGTCTGTGTGCTGGGGGTGGCTCACCTGGCAGCGTGGGTGAGCGGCGCGGCGACGGCGGCGGCGAGCGAGAACGGGGAGCAGGTAAATGGACGCTCCCCTTCCGGGCCTGGGTCTCGGGGCCGGGGCCGCGCGAGGCAAGGCGCTCCCCACCTGAGCGGGGAGCGTTGCCGAGCTTCCGCCACCAGCCTGCTCCAGCCTCCGCCCGGCGGTGGCCTGGTCCGGGAGTTAGGGGGGCGTGACCCGCCTCCGGCAGGAACCGAGCCGGCCTCCCAGGGCGGCGAGTGTCGACCCGTTCTTGCGCTCGCCGGCAAGTATCGGCACCTGCACGTTCTAGAATCGAGTGTTTTCTAAAGTATGCGCAAGTACACGTGATATTCTGTCACCGAGGCTCGTACTGAACGGACTTTGATTCTTGTCGAGGTTGCACCGAAGGTTGCACCGAACGCGCCTGGTTTATGTTTCCCCCTTTGCCAAGTACACCGGGTAAAAGCTCTACAACGTCCGCCAGCCACATTTCCTTATATGTAGTTACTTGGGCCACATGTTGCAATAAAGGTGGCATTTCGGAGTTAAGGCAGGAACTAGTAAGTTTGCCAAGTGGTGAGGTATCCTTCATCCTTATAAGCGCGCCTCCGTTTCCCCACAGTAAAGATGTTTTCTCCATCTGCGCGTGTCGCGTACTGCGGAGGAAAGCTTTGGACATGAAACCTATTTTTGGCTTTATTTTAAGGAGTGGCAACTATTAAAAGCAGTACTGAGTGTTTTTTTTGGTAGGATGCTGCTGCTGCTGCTACTACTGTCACTTGCTTTCCTGATGAGAGTTGGGGCAGAGCCTGATTTCCTGGAGGGTAAAGTATTGGCCACAGCTGTGAGTGACTCAGCGGCCCTTTACGAATTCCGACTCTTGCCTCTCCTCTCCCTACCCCGACCAACTGTGCAGATACTGATGCCACCTTCCTCTCCAAATATTTATCCGGCAAGGGAGTTGGATGATACCTTTTGGAAGCAGTTTGCATTTGCCTGGTGGAATGATTGGGGTGGGCTGACATTTCATCTTGCCATTGGGCGGGCTGACATTTCACCCCACAATTTAAGGCAAAAAACCCAGAATGTTTAGTTGGGTGGGGCAACAGGGACTGACGATAAATTCACTGTGTTCTCTGCCATCGGAGAGCTCTCCACTTGTGATCATTTCATTGCCTTCTGCTATAATTTCTGTTGCACTGAGAGGATTGGTTATACTGTACCTGCTAGGTAAATGGAGCACAGGATGCCAGGGAGAGTGCACCTGTGTGGTGCAGGCTAACCAGAAAATTGTGTGATAGAGAATTGCCCTGGTTACAAAGTTTGGTATCCTTCAGGCTGGCTAGGAGATTGCTCTGTGGACTGGGAAATCTTTTTATGAACTGGTTTCCTAGCAACAGTATAAGCCAGATGGAACAAACATAAAACAAAGTGATGGAAGTTACAACTTACCTCTTAACTTTCATTAAATGGAAAAATTTATCTTATTGGAATGATCAGCTCAAAACTTCTGAGGCTATTTTGTTTATTTTAATCATCTTAATACTTAATAAGAGACAAAAAGAAACTGCAGAAAATCATCACAGAAGGACATCACTTTTTTTTTGTGGTAGTGAAAAAGAGAAGAGAGATGGATAACAATTAGTTTGTCTGGAGCTTAAATGGATAAATAGGAGTCCAATATTTCCAAATTCTAGCTCAATCACAGTATTTTATCAACAAGGTCCTTGTGATTTTTTGAGCTTTCCAGAAAGCTCATCAAATTTTCTTATTTTCTGTCCAAAGGCAACTTTCTTTAGATTAACTCTTTGTATCAATGAATATCTGTTTCTTCTTATTTACTAATGATAAAAGAATTTTTTGGATTTGCAATATATTAAGGATTTTTGGTCTCCATGTTGTTTCCTCGCTGCCCCACTCCTATACCCAGTACGCTTGGTTTAGTTTCTTTAAATTTATACATATTTTTCAAAAGGGCATATGATGCCTCTATTATTGGGACATGACTTATAAGAAGTAAAAAGTAATTTATAATATATTGTATAAACTCTGACAAATGCATATGGTCATGAAACAACCACCGCAGTAAGACAAAGAACATTTCCATCATTCCAGAAAGTTTGCTCAAGCCCCTTTATAGTTAGTTCCCTCCCTTCACCTACAAGTCCTGGCAACCTCTGATCTGTTTTCTGTACCTGTAGTTTTGTCTTTTTTGGAATGTCGTATAAATGGAATCATACAGTTGTAGCCTTTTGTTTCTGGTTTTTTTTCACTTAATGCTTTTGTTGTTCATCCATGTCCATGCATGTATCAGTGCTTTGTACTTTTTTATTGTGGAAAAGTCAACGTTTCTCTCTCTCTCTCTCTCTCTCTTTCTGTATACAGATTCCTAATTCTTGCAGCACCCATTTATTGAAAAGGCTATTTTTTCTATCTTTTCTTCATTAAATTTTCTTGGCACCTTTGTCAAAAATCAATTGACTATGTATGTACTATTGATTTGTTTCATTGTCCTGTATATCTCTCCTTTGTCCCAAACCACACCATCTTTATTACAGTGGCTTTATAGTATGTTTTGAAATCAGGAATCCTGAGTATCCCAATTTTGTTATTTTTTATATTGTTTTGTGTTTTAGGTCCTTTTCTTTCCATGTAATCTTTAGAACCAGCTTATTTCTTTCTATAAAAAAGCATGTGAAATTTTGATTAGGATTGCATTGAAGTAATAGATCAGTTTGGGGAGAACTGACATCTTAACAATATTGTTTTTAAATCCCTTAATAATAAAATGCCTTCATTTATTTAGGTCTTTGATTTCTCTCACTGTTTTTCAGCTTTCAGCATAAAAATTTGGCATGTATTTTGTTATATTTGTATCTAAGTGTTTTATGCTGTTTTAAATGGTAGCCTTTTAAAAAATTTCTATTTCCAGTTTATATAAATAAATCAATTTTTGTATTGACCACAAATCTTACATCTTCATTAAACTCACTTATTAGTTCTAGTAGCTTTTGTGGACTCATTGGGATTATTTTACATAGACAATCATGCTGTCTGTCAGTAGAGACAGTTTTATTTCATATTTTCCCATCTGTTTGCCTTTTATTTTGCTTTCTTGTGTCATTGCACTCTCTAGGCTCTCTAGTTGTGTTAATAGGACAAGTCAGAGCAGACATCCTTGCCTTGTTTCTCATTTTAGTAGAAAAGCTATGTAGTCTTTTACCAGTGAGTAGTTAGCTGTGAGTTTTTTTTAAGTATCATTTTGATTAGATTGAGGAAGTTCTTTTTAACTCCTGGTTTGTTTAGAGTTTTTTAATTTAACCATAAATGGATGTTGTATTGCTTTTTTTGGTTGTAGAAATTATAGTTGATTATAGTAGAAAATTGGGAATAAAAGAATCTATAGAGGAAAAAGTTATTCCTATTGCCATTAATCTGAGGTAACACCTGCTAACATTTTAGTGACTTTTCTTGCAGTCTTTTTTCTTTTGCAAACATATTTTAAAAACAAAATTGTAAATATTATTTTATATTTTGCCCTTTTCACTCAGCATCACATTCTGAGTGCTTATTATATCATGCATTTTTTTGAGAACTTGATTTGTAATGGATATGGGCTATTGTGTCATGGATATACCATCATTTAATGATTTTTTTATTGTCAAATAGTAAAATTGTGGTTACATTTTCCCCATAAAATTAACATTAAATTTTTGTACTTAACTCTGATAATTTTCTTTTAATTGATTTCTAAAAATGTTGTGATCACTCAAATTGTATGATTTTTTTTTTCCCAGATTCTTAATATGTGTTATCTGTTTGTTTCATTTGGTGTTCATAGAATTAGTCCTGTAGGCTATTTATTGTGACAGTTTTGGAGTCATTGGCTTTTTGTGCATCACTTTAAGATATAGTCTTTGAATTTCAGAAACTCGGAGTTCCTTTAAATTATTTAGTTCAAACCATTTATTTTACAGATTTTGAGTCTGGAATAATTAAATGACTTTTTTGCCCACATTATGATTTTGTTACCACTGATCTAGATAGAATTCCTGACGCATTCTGTATAATGTAATATACTACCTGTGCTCTTCTTTTGGTAAGCATTATGGAAATCTTTGTGCCTAGCATCATGTAAAATTCTTTATGTATGTTGTTTTATAGAATTCCAAACAATACTTTTTGGGAGTGGCATTTTCCCCGTTTCATAAACAAGAAAAATAAGTCTCCGACAAGTGAGCAAATGTAGCTAAGGTTGGATTAATAGTAAGTGGTAGAGCTGGAGTTTGATCACAAGTCTTCCTGAATCTGTGCTTTTTATTCATAGGCTATACTACCAGTATTAAGTTCTTATAGGTATTTTGTATATATTGTACTTATTTTGAACCTATTAGTTTTAATGCTTAGAATAAACTCACTGAGAAAATTAATAAACCAACATGGGACAGTATCAGTACTTCTAAAATGTTTACCCAAATTTATGTCCTTTTAAGTCTATACTTTCAAACTTTAATTAGTTTACACATTTCTTGACCTGCACCTTCTTCCTTCCCCTGTCAAATCCCTAATAAGTGGTACAAAGATTATGTTATAGAATCCTACTTAAAGAATAAAGAACACATTAATTGTCACTAGCAGAGGATACAAAAAATTTTTTCTTTAAATTTTGAAATGAGAAAAACATTTTTTATTACAAGTTTAATAAATGAGTGTCAGAGATAATGTTAGCTCCTTTAAAATTCACTCTTCTGTAATTCTGGTAAAATAGTTCATTTTCCTTAGAAGGATATGTACATTTTGGTACATATGAAAGGTACTCTATGAATGAAATACTTATTTTGTAAAGTGTTAAGTCACTTTTTTCTTGTATTTAGAGAAAGTTGACTTTCTTCTCCCTCTTACATCTCTTACTGAAAGTGGGCTTAGATAACGGAGAGGCCAGCCAGATTGCCATTTATGTTGTGTCCAGCCCTGTGGTTAAAAAAAGAGTCTGCAGGGTCATTTCAAAAAGTTGCTTTACTTCTATATTATGATAATTCAGAACTTCTGCAGTTGTA